GAGGAAGAGGCCGAAGCACATCCACCAGAAGGAGAAGAAGAGCTTAGGAACCCGGGAGGACGCAGCTCAGGCTCAGGGCTACGCCGTATACCTCCTGCCGCAGAGGAGTTGCAGGATCACGTGGACGAGTTCGTGACAGCTCATCCAGATTCCTTCGAGCTTGCAACGCTGCCTGAACGTGGGAGTGGAGGTCCCGCAGGACGACCCGACGACGTCGGACCTCAGGATACCCGCCGGCCTAGGGAGCCGGATCACCCACCGTCGGGGCGAGAGCGAGAGGAGGACGAAAGGGCCGCAATTCCAAGGAGGCGTGCACCAGCACCGAAGAAAAGCAAAGGGAGACAGCACCGGGAGAGAGGTTATCTCTACCGGGGTAGAGGGCGGAGGTAGGCGCAATGCCTCCCAAAGCCAAGGCAAAAGCGAAAGCGCTGGCAATGGCCAAGGTCCGGGCCAAGGCCAGAGCCAAAGCGAAAGCAGGACCACCAGCTATGCGTGTAGGCCGCAGGGCTATGAGGAGGCCAGCAGGTGGAGCAGACGAGGCGCCGATGGAGAGTGTCGAAGAGAAGTGGGCACGAGGAGCCGTGGTCAAGGTTGGGGACGTTCCCCCCATTCTGTTCTCAGAGGGGACGCCGGTTGTCCTCCCCAATGCCCACTATTACCTCAGGAGTTGTGCAGTAGCCGGGAGGCTGACAGGCTTGGAAGTCAAAGACGGGGCAATGTATGCCCTGGCCAGGCTTACGGGGACCACGGGGGAGGCCCTGTTGAAGTATCACACGGCCAACCCGGACGCCGTGTTTCGCGTTCACCTTTGCCGAGAAGACTGCAATCAACAAGAGGTTTCGGACTTGCTCCTGCACACCAAACAGATCCGACAGATTGTGGACATGGCCCAGGAGGAAGGATGGGTGTCGAACCTGGAGAAGGTCCGTCCCATGGAAGAAGGAGACGAGCTGGAGGTTCTTCGTGCTCGGCAGAGGGGGCTGGGCGGAGAGCCAAAAGTCGGGGACGGGGTCCCTGGAGGAGAACCAGAAAGGAGCAGGAAGGACAAGAAAGAAGACAGGAAGAAGAAGAAGGAAAAAAGGAAAGGAGTCGGAGACAGAAGAGGGAGGTCGGCATCATCAGAGGAGACAGTCAAGATGGATGGCACTATGGCCAAGCGGGCCGCCAAGAAGAAGCCCGGAGATTTGTTCCGAGGCACAGGGCTAGACCCGAAAGAAAAAGTGAGGAGACAAGTTGCAAAAAGAACAAGACGAAGTATCAGGAAGAAGAGCAAGAAGGACGACTCCACCTTGTCCAGCGGGAGTACGGGCTCCTCGGGGGACAGCCAGGTCGAAGCCGAGGAGGAGACTGTCTTTCAACAAGCCTCCAAGGTGAGGCTGGTAGCTTCGGGGTTTCCGGGGACCCTGGCCAGCCAGACGCTGGCACAGATGAGGACAGTACTCCTCAGCGAAGTCGGAAGCGAAGATCGTCCTGGAGTCCTGAAAGGCTGCGCCCTGGCTTACTTCAGGCAGCACGTGAGCAAAAGGAGCACAGGGCCGGCACAGCGCGAGCTGTTGAGTATAGCTACCAGCATAGATATGATGCTGAGTGGCAACGCTGCAGGAGCAATGGACATCCTTGTCCAACGCTTCAAGTCGGTCGAGAGTACACTGACCGGTTGCCATTGGACGGTGGCTCAACGGTTGGAGGTGGTTCCTCCCGACAATGTGCAGCTCACTCCAGCTCAGGAAATGCAGGATGCCCGCCGCAACGTCTACGAGGAGAGTCGACTTCGGTGGCTGGCGGCTCAGCCCGACGGGAGATCGGCCACAACAGCAGGAAAAGGAGCGAATCGCACGAAAGGAGAAGGCAAGGAACCCCCCAAGGGGACAGGCAAAGGACGTTGGGGCAAGGGGCCCAAGGCAAACAGGATGCGAACAAGAGGAAGGACGAGGCCACCTCGAAGCCTTGATGGCTGGTTGGGACGAGTTGGTCGATGAGGCGAGGGTTTGGGCCCTTGATCAAACTATGAGAGGGTTCCCCCATCAGGAAGAGAATGGCTATAAAAGGGGATTGGCATTGGCCCCTTGCCATGGAAACGGAACCGGGGGCGACCTTCAGCAGCTTCCATATGATGAGAGACCAGCCTCAGAGGAGCTGCTGCAATCCTTGCATGTGGCCACCCCGATGAGGGAGCAGAATTTATTGACACCAGAACATCATGGCCAAGTGTGCCATGAGGAGGCGGTGGACTCGGCCGTAGAGATTACTGCTGGAGCTTTTGTGTCCGCCTCTAGAAAAAAGGATGCTCGTGACAGTGTAGCCGGAAAGCGCTTGGGAGAGTGTGGTGATCTTTTATCCAAAAAGCTTCTTGAGGTTTTGCCGCTTCGCAGCCAGACCATGGGTAAAGGTAAATCAGGCGGTATATTTCCTTTACCTACCTCCAGAAGCTGTTTTTTGGATTTGGAGCCCTTATTGAACGATGAAGAGTTGGCATGGATGGTGTGCGTAACTTCTTCTTTGAACTCTATGTGGGGTGGTGAGGTTTTCTTTGAGGCCATGGCTAATCACGCGCAGCGTAGATGCTTGGAGAACATTCTGAGAGAGGTTAAGAGGTTTTGTTCTATTCCCACGTGTTTAGAGGTTGCTGATTGGGACACGTTTTTTAGTATCCGGTCCGTCGACTACAAAGGGGATGAAGTCAGGGTGGCTAGGTCTTTTTGCTGGGCAAACATCGCACCTGCCTTACCGAAGGAAGTAGGAAAGGTTCCCCTTGTAGATCTCTGCTCTCACGGCTCTAAACACTATGTGGAGAACTTCGACCTATACCTCAAACCAAAGCAAGAATGGAAACTTCCAAAGGCGCCACGTGTGATGATTGAAGAGAAACACTGGGCAGAGATTTGTAGTGGCTTGGTCAAGGCTGGGGTTTGTACCTTTCTGGAAGAGTCAGAGGTTTTTCACACAGAGGAGGGCCCATTACTTAATGGGCTTTTTGGGGTTACCAAAGACGAGTGGACGGACGATGGCACTGAAATCATGCGGCTTATCATGAACCTTGTGCCGCTGAACTCGCTGTGCAAGCCGATGTCAGGGGATGTGGATACTCTGCCAGCATGGTCTGGCATGTCTCCCTTCTTTTTGCAGCCGTCCCAAAGTCTATTGGTCAGCTCTGAAGACGTGAAATGCTTTTTCTATACTCTGTCGGTACCATTGTGCTGGGTAAAGTATCTAGCGTTCAACCGTTTGGTCCCAGACACAGCCCTGCCGGAAGCCCTTCAGGGTAAGCGGGTTTATCTTGCCTCTATTGTCTTGCCCATGGGGTTCCTGAACAGTGTTAGCTTGGCACAGCACGTGCATCGCAACCTTGTGAGGAACTCACAGCAGGGCACCACTGCATGCGGGAGTAATCCTCCTGAACAAGAGCTGAGGAAGGACCGTGCGTTCGTAGCAGCTGATTCACTGTGGAGGGTGTATCTCGACAACTACGATTTGTTGGAGAAGGTGGAGAAGACCAACATGGTGGAGCTGGAGGGCTCTCTGGCTCCTGGTGTTTTGGCACTGCGGGAGCAATATGAGCGCTGGAATGTCCCACGCAACTTCAAGAAGTCAGTGCAGCGCTCTACCAGGGCTGAAGTCCAGGGAGCCACCGTGGATGGAGAGCTTGGAGTGGCATATCCCCGGGAGTCAAAGCTAGCCAAATACTTTGGTTTGGCGCTCCTGCTGGCTGCCCAGGAGAGGGCAACTCAGAAACACTGGCAGGTAGTCTGTGGGGGTCTGGTATATTTTGCAATGTTTCGGCGTCCTCTTCTTGGAGGTCTCAATCAGGTGTGGCGACATATCGAAGACTTCGAGAGCTCGGGCTCTCGGTGGGCGCGTACTTCACAGGACTGCCTCCTGGAAGTCTTGCGCTTCCTGGGCTGCTTGCCGCTTGCAAGGATGGACTTCAGAGCAGATATGCACCCCCTGGTGACGTGCAGTGATGCCTCGACCCAAGGGGGTGGGGTTTGCGTCAGTGCAGGGACCACTCCCTTTGGCTCTATGGTTGCGCAGGGGCGCCTTCGAGGTGAACTGCCAGAAAGTCGCACAGGCGACTTAGTGCTTTCAGTGGGTCTCTTTGATGGGATCGGGGCGCTCAGAGTGGCCCTGGACACATTAGGAGTGCAGGTCATTGGGCACGTACCCTGAAGATGAGGTTAGGTTAAAAAGGTGCTTTTAGGCTATTTTGAAAAAATAGTTAACTTTCTGCCTATTAGGTAGATCATGTTTAACCTTGAAAAGGTTATTTGATCAAATAACCTTTAACTATTTTCAAGGTTATTCATACAATTTACCTTTTTTTTGAAGGTTATTTGTACAAGTTACTATTCATACAACTTACCTTTTTTCCCAAGGTTATTCATATCATTTCCTTCTCTTTGCAATGGATGTGTTTGCTTCTATGCTCATGTCAACACAAGCCAGTGACAGCACACATGTATTGCTTTGAGCTTTTCTGTTTGAGCAAGTGAACACTTTTCCCCAACAGTGTTCCTTAGAATATATGAGTGGCTGTTCTTTTTGGGGGGCAGGTGAAAGTTATTTGAAAGATGTATGAGAGTTGTTTGAGAGTTGTTTGAGAGTCATGTGAGAGTTATTTGAGAGTTATTTGTAAGTTATTGGAGAGTTATTGGAGAGTCATGTGAGAAATGTTGGAGGGTTATTGGAAAATTATTGGAGAGTTGTTTGACAGGCCAGCCCAACTTCTGTAGCTGCTGTTGTCAGAACTTCTGTGAAGCTGTGGTGAAGTCATGTGTCTTTGCTGTGAAATTTCTAAAAGACCTGTGTCTGCTGTGCATTCAAGGCTCTGTCTTCACAGTGACAAGAAGTTAGTGTGGCATGTGAGAACAACAGAACACTAGAAAAAGAAGAGCATTTGTGTCTTCATTTTCTGGGCTGGAGGCCCAAGGCACAACAATCATGGCACAAGAATGGAAACATATCATTGACGCGTTTTTGCACCCTCTTTTGTGGCTTCAGCCATGTCCTTGCAAAAGCAAAGGCTTACAGCAGATCCCTGCTTGGGTGTTGGTGACATCATGTCACCTGTCATGTCATGGTTGAAAGAGACAGGCAAATATGACCTGTCTTCTTTGTTGGAACCCAAGACACCAGTGTCATGGAAAACAGCTCCCAACGTGGCATGGCTCTGCAGTTTGGAGAAGTTGTTTGAGAAGTTGCTGAAGGTTGTCCCAGCTTGCATTTTCCCCGCCAAAAAGGTCAGGTTAGCACTGCAAAAGATTCAGTCAGAGGTGACCAGGATCAACTTTGGACGAAAAGATGATGACCAATTCTTTGACAAAATGGACCAACTTCTGAGAATTGCAGCTTCACAACTCAGGGACCTCAAGCAGCAGCTTTCTGTGTACCAGAGGACGATGAAAAAAGCTTCTGTCAGTGAAAAAGAAAAGATTGATGCTCTGTTGCTGTTGATCCATATTCCTGCGACTGATGCTGAAGAAGGTCACCAAGAAAAATCCCAGAAGAAAGCTTCTCCCAAGGAAACTTGCACAGCACTGGTTCCCTATGTGGCACCAAAGACTACCTGCTCTGCAGCAGAAGCTTCTGCCCACTGCAGCCCAAATATCTACACAAGGATTCTGTCTAAGAAGCTGAGTGATGAAAGTGCTGGCCCAGGCGATGCTAAATCACCACCAAGGCTGGCTGCCACTTCCTCTGGACCCAGCAGCTCCAGCAGAAGCTTGGGGAGAGAGGTGGCATGGGATGACTTCAACAGAAGTGAAAAGGATCTGCTGGCTGAAGCTTTGAGCAAGGCTTCTCACATTTGTTTTGCAGTAATGCTGCTTGTTTGTACCATGCCATGTTAGCATAAGTTTGCTCCAACTGATTGATTTGTGTGTGACCCTGATCCAATCAAATGGAGGAAGTGCGAGTTGAGAAGAAAAAAGGAAGAAAGAGCAGGTGTAAAGGAAAACCAAAGGCCAAAGTGAAGAAAAAAAAGAAAGCAACTTCTTCTGCTTCTTCTGCGACAGACCCCAGCCCAAAGAAGATTAGCAGGCCATGATCCTTGCATTCTTGGATAGTCTATCTTCCAAGAGTTTTGGTGTCAGCCAAGTATAGCTAGACAGGCAGCAGTCCAAACCTCCTGGGTCATCACTGCAAAGGCCCAAAGCCAAAAGTAGCTGCAAAACGAAGAAGAAAAAAACAAAGGAAAAAGAGAAAGAGCAGTGCCTGGGCATGGAGCTAGTGCAGCAAATGTAACACTTTAAGTGGACTGCCCATGTTATCACAGGCCTTCTGCAGAGAAACCAGAGAAGCAGCAGATGTGCCTTGGAAAATGAATATCTTTCTTCCTCTATCATGGGCCTCTATGATTTGTGGAGCAGCTGCAGCATCTGTGTTTGCACTGTGAGCAGTGCTTCTGCTGGGTCCCTTGCAGGAAAACGACTTTCAAGCACAGAAAGACTAGCTCTGAGTGGAACAAAGCCAAAAAACAGGCTTTGGCTGCAGGACATAGCCCAAACACAGCAAAGGCTATGGGAAGAGCTGCTGCTCAAGAAGTTGCTAGGCAAATAGATGCTGGCTTGTTGAAAGAAGAAACCGCTGAAGATGTTGACTGAAAGAAGAGTCACTGTGGAGGAAAAAATGTGCAAAGCTGATGTGTGTGTGTGTGTGCATGTTGTATCACAGCTGCTTGTGGCAAAGCATGTGCCAGGGTTCATATGCAAAGCAAGCATCATGTGGTATGCAGCATATGCCTTGTTAGGAGAAAGATATGTCACAGGTATTAGAGAGAGAGAGAGAGAGAGAAAGAGAGAGAGAGAGAGTGACAGAGAGAGAGAGAGTTGAAAGTTGTTCTGAGAGAGGTAGTTGGGAGTTATTTGACAGCTATTTGAGAGTTATTTGAAAACTATTTGACAGTTATTTGAGGGATATTTGAGAGTTGTTGGAGAGTTATTGGAGAGTTCTATGAGTTAGTGGAGAGTTATTTGAGAGGTATTTGACAGTTATTTAAGGGATATTGGAGGGATCCCTCTAGGAAGTAGGTGTAATAGATGTAGTAAAAGCAGGTTGGTGTATTCGCTTTCAACCCAGCAACCCAGCACCAATTTAGAATTATGGGTGTTTCTGTTGTTTTGGCTTCAGAATGGGATTTTGCTGATAGGTGCTGGTACAAGATCCCTTTAAAAATAGTCTTCAACAGAAACTCGCCAAAACTTTTGGGGGATGGCTGACCAGCTTCACATCAGCAATTTCCCAATGGCCTGGTCAGCAGAACTGATCAGAACAGCCTTGGACCAGCAGTTCCCAGGAATTACACGTGTAGTTCCCCTGAGAAAAGGTTTTCAGAGGCCTTTTGGAAGAATGTCTTGTTTTGTTCATTGGGCCCCTGGTTGTCGTCCCAATGCTGAAGATGTGACTGGTTTTTTACCTTGGGAACTGGCTGCCACTGGCTGGAATGTTAGTTTGGTGGCGAAGCATGTGAACCTTCCTGTTTCTAGGCAGCACTGTGAGGCTCAAAGCCATGTTGCAAGGCCCAGTGAACCAGCACTGGGGTAGCTGTAAAGGAAGGGGTTGGGGAACAGAATGCCATGGTTTCCTGATGGTAGAAGGGCAACTAGAAAAAAAAGAATGCCCTTGCTGTACAGTTCCGCCTGAATGCCCTTTGTGCAACCGAACCCTGACAGTCTTGAACTCATTGGTGGCATGCAAAATTTCATGGATGTCAAGATGGGTACCTATGCACTGCATTTTTTTGGTTTGAGCTGAGGCTAAGGGAGCTCAGAAAGGGCAGCTTGGCATGAGATATGCTTTTGCTGTGTGTTTTGCACAATTTCTTTCTATTGTGACTAGGCCATCTGGAGCAACACCGAAGTTTCTGGACAGCAGATATCAATTTCAAAAATCCATGAATGATATTATTTCCCATGTCTATGGTGGTTATTTCAACAGGAATTGCATCTTGAGAATTATTTGAGAGCTAATTGAGAACTATTTGAGAGCTATTTGAGAGTTATTGGAGATTTTTTGAGAGTTGCTTTCAATGTAGTTCAAAGTTACCTGTTTTTTGAGAGCCATTAGAGAGTTATGTTTGAAAGGTATACCTAAGGTATTGAATGCAATTGGGACAATATGGGATTGATCTGCTTGGGTTGTTGTAGGAATTAATGGACCTAATTCTTCATCAATTTTCCTGTGGCATGCTATCTTAGGCCACCAGGTGGAAAACCAGCACCTTCTAGCTGGACCAGCCCTTCTGCTGGACCTGCTGAGAGGTTTGGGACACAACCCAATCACTGTTCATGTTTTTTTTGGGCAGTGCATTGAGGCCACCTGCCAAAGCTCCTCCAGCAAAACCTTTCCTGAACTTTGTGGAGAAAAAAGAAGGAAAGGGATACCCTGAGCAAAGGCTGAAACATTTGCTTTGAAATTTTTCTCTGCTTGTCAAAATTTGCTGCTAGGGCTGCAGCAGCAGAGGAGCCAAGGCCAGGAAGCACCAAAGCAACAACAAGAGGTATTTATTTTTTTGGTTTGTCACTTTGTGCTGCTAGGCCTGCAGCCAAGAGTCCACCAAAGGACCCAAGGCCACAACCTCCCAAAGAAGAAACCAAAGAGGTCCAGAAGGATGAAAAAGAAGAGACTCCAGAGGAGGTTCCTGAAGTGAAGGTGACACAGGAGTGTCTTGGATGCATTTAGTGGCTCTACCCAATTCCAACTGCATTACCTTTTCACAAAGTGCTTTGTTTTTTGGCAGGCCTTCTGACACTGAAGCTTCTCAGACTGAAGAATCCTTCGACCCCTGTGAGCATGTGGACTTTGCAACAAAAAGCCCAACCAGTGAGACCAAGGAAGAAGAGCACCCTAGTTGCATTAGATCAGCATGAGATCAATCTATATTTTTTTGGTTGCACTGGCAGGCAGGCATCCAGCAGTGCAAAGCCCAGGTGTCTCAGCAGCAATATTTGAGCAAGCAACTATTTGAGAGGTATTTGAGAGATATTGGGCAATTATTTGAGGGACACTTGAGAGCTATTTGAGAGTTTTCAAAAATATATATATTTGAGAGTTATTTGAAAGATACTTGAGAGCTAGTTGAAAGTTGTTCAAAAAATTAATTGAGAGCTATTTGCAAGATACTTGAGAGCCATTTGAGAGTTTTTAAAGAGCTACTTGAGGGATATTTGAGTGAAAGACTTGCCATTTGAGAGTTAGTGCAGCCCCACAGGATACTAGCAATCTTTCTGTCAGGAAATGGCGCTCCAGAAAGATGATGGAAGCTGCGCCCCTTGACTCTGCCACTATTGCAATGCCTTGTGCATGGACTGCAGTGCATTTCAAGCACATTGTCTCTTGCATCTAAGGAGGCCAAAAGTGAGGGGTTGGGTCCCATCAAGGGAATATATCTGAGAAACTGCGAGCTCCACAGTGGAAAAAAATGCAAAGTGACAGCATCACTCTAGGATTGATGTGGCACATTGGGAAGGTCTTGCAGCTGTTATTTGAGAGCTACTGGAGAGATATTGAACCAGTTTTCTATGAGTGATTGGAGAGATATTGGAGTGAGAAAATATCTGAGAGGTATCTGAGAGATATTGGGAAACTGTCACTGGAAGGTATTGGTGAGTCACTGGAACTGTTTCCTTGCAAGAGTTTGCAGAAACATGTGTGTTTTGTTGTCTTTGCATTGGTTTCTGATGAAAAAAAGGTTCCAAACTTTGATTTTTTTCTAAAAAAATATGTAAATATCATGTTTTTTTCACAAAAAAAACAAATGTACCTTAGCAGTTTGCTTAGTAGTTTCTAAGCAAACTACTAAGGCTCTTAGCAGTTTGCTTAGTAGTTTCTAAGCAAACTACTAAGGTCCTTAGCAGTTTGCTTAGAAACTCCTAAGCAAACTGCTAAGGCAGCTTAGCACTTTGACAAGCAAACTACTAAGGGCCCTTAGTAGTTTCTAAGCAAACTACTAAGGGCCTTAGAAGTTTCTAAGCAAAGTGCTAAGGCCCTTAGTAGTTTCCTTAGAAACTTCTAAGGCCCTTAGCACTTTGCTTAGAAACTGCTAAGGGCCCTTAGTAGTTTGCTTAGAAACTACTAAGGGCCCTTAGTAGTTTGCTTGTCAAAGTGCTAAGCTGCCTTAGCAGTTTGCTTAGGAGTTTCTAAGCAAACTGCTAAGGACCTTAGTAGTTTGCTTAGAAACTACTAAGCAAACTGCTAAGAGCCTTAGTAGTTTGCTTAGAAACTACTAAGCAAACTGCTAAGGCACCTTAGCACTTTGCTTAGAAACTTCCAAGCAAACTGCTAAGTTACCAATTGTTTGCTCATGTTTTACCAAAAAAAGTGATGTTTTGGTTTCAAAATGATCGTTGTCAGCCAAAAAAGTTTTAAAAAAGAAAAAAAATGGTTGCACTGATTTGGTCGATGTTCATCCCACAAGTGGCTGCATGACAGTTTGCTTGCTTATCCTTTGCCAGGCTCAGACCCAACAGCAGCAATTGCCAGTGTGAAAATTCAAACCAAGGATACCCAAAATACAGCACACATGTTACAAACACACTGTGGTGCTCACAGGCACCATTGTTTACTCATGAACAATGTAGAAATATTTCTCAACTATCTCTCAACCATCTCTCAAAAAACTCTCAAGTAACTCTCTACTAACTCTCAAATACCAAGAGGCACAAACATATCACTCAACTAACTCTCAAATATCACTAAGACAAGTGAACAAATATATTACATTTTCATTGGTACACTTTTTGTCACTTAATGTACAATAGCCCAGTGAAAACCACTGCCAGGTATTTACCTGGGAGCCCTCGTTTGCGCTACAAAATGGCTTCTCAGGCCCCTGGGAATGAAGTTGAAAATTCAGAAGAACCAAAGGAGGCTGAGAAACCTGAGGAGAATGAAGAAACCACAGCTAAGCCAAAGGAGGAAGTTGAAAGTTTGAAAAAACCAGCTTCAAAAAAACCAGCTAAGGCAGCTGCACAGAAAAAAACGAAGTTGCCAAAGACTCCACAAAAGCTTTCAGCAAAAGGTAAAGCTAAAGCCAAGGCTGAGGCCAAGGCCAAAGCAAAAGCAAAGGCCAAAGCCAAAGCCTTGGCTGCCTCCAAGAGCAACCGCGAGAAAAAGGAGAAAAAGGAGAAGAAGGAAAAGAAAGAGAAAAAGAAAAAGGATGAAGAGCCCAAGCTTATGAAAAGGCCTGCAGCCAAAGGTTTTTCCGTGAGAGACCAAGTTTCTCAGCTCCAAGCAGGGGTGCCACATGAGAAGACTGAGGAAGAGCAGGGGCATGGTGAAGAAGGTGAAGAAGAAGAAGAAGTGAAAGAAGAAGATCTATTTGTTGATCCTGATGAAGAAGGTGAGAAACGCTCCAAAGCTGCTGCTGGCAAATTCAACAGGTTGTGGAAGGCTGGAAAGGTTCCACAGCAGATCAAGGAGATCTGGCAGAAGTGTGAGACAAGAGATGAAAAGACAATGCTTGTCAACCGCCTGTTCAAGAAGAACACCAAAACTGGCTGCTGGGAGATGCAGGCTGACAATCCAACTTTCAAAAGTTGGTTGAAAACTTCAGACAAGACCTTTGGCAAGGATGGTCAGCAAAGCTATCCACGAGCAATCATGTTGCATCACTACTTCAGAGGGGATGAAGAGGCTTTCCTTCAGGCACTAAATACTGGTGATATCTCAGAGATCAACAAAGGTGGAAAAGTGATGTGCAGCTTTGAATGCTACGAGAGTGGAAGAGCTAAGGAAGCAGACCAGAGGATGGACTTGGACAGAGGCACTAAAAAACTTACAGGTGAAGAGCATGATGCGGTGACCAATGTGCTGTGCAACTTTGACTGGACCAAGTTTGGCCAAGAAGTTCAGCCTGGACCAAGGACTTCCAGCAAAGCAATGGCCTTGACTAATGGCCCACAGGTGGTGCTTTGGAAAAATGTCGAGCCTTTCTTGACACAAGCTAAGGCTGCCCATGACAGGGTCCTGGGAAGTCTCAACAAGATGTTTGCTGCAGTTGCCCACGCAAAAGACAAGGATCTTAGCCTGAAGTTTAAGATTGCTCTGACAACTTTGCAGCAGAACAGCCAAGAGATTTCCAATGCCTTGATGTTCCAGGACTGACAAGCATTTGCTTACACAAATGTTGGCAAGCCTGTCCTGTTGCTCATCTGTTTCCAACTTCCAACTTGCAGGAGATACCAGGTTGCAAAGAGTTGATCAAAACCGAAGTGGATGATTGGCTTGCAGCCAAAGGCAAGGACATGTCAGCCCACTACGAGGCAAGTGAGACCATCAAGAGTGTTTTGAAAGCCAGAGAACTTTTGTGAGCTGGGCCCTCAGAATGGGCTGGAAAGCCCAACAAGGTGTTCACAAGAAGTATTTGAGAATTAGGTAGATTGTAAAACTTTTGGTGTTCATTTGAGAAATAACTAGCAGATATCTTTTATGTATTGGAGAGATATTGGAACGTTATTTCAAAGTTATTTGAGAGATATTGGAGAGTTATTTGAGAGTTATTTAAGAGTTGTTGGAGAGTTATTTGAGAGATATTGGAAAGTTATTTGAAAGTTATTGGAGGCTTATTTGAGAGTTATTTGAGAGTTATTTGGGAGTGATTAGAGAGTTATTTGAAAGATGTTGTCATGTTCCCACCAGTGAGACAGCTGACCTGTTTGTTGCAGCTCCTTCCATCCTTGCAAACACCTTGCTGTCCCCAGGTTCAGGCTCAGACTGTGAGAAGCTTTGGCCTAGGTGCGACAACTCTCCTTCAGACTGCTGCTGTTGGTTAAAAAAATTGAGCTGGCTCCTGCCTGCCTGAGCTAGCAATGACTAGGGCAGTATGGCATGTGCAACTTCAAGTTTGCAGGCTAGAGATGAATCAGAGATGTGCAGCTCAAGCCTGTGACAATTTCCAATGAGAAGTTCACACCACATCACATGTGCACAAGGTAGCCTGTGAAACATTCATGTTCATCAACCACACCACTTCATTTCTTATAGCCAGCATCTTCTCACAATCTTTTTAACAGCTTTAATCAAGCTTTCCCTGACACCTTGCTTTTTCTTCCCTTACCCCCTGTGGCTTTGCCAGCCATGAACCGAGACTCTTCACAACCAGCCCAAAAAAAAAGAAAACTTGGAGGAATTCAACAGAGACTAGCCAAGGCTGAAGCTCAGGACAAAGAAAACGCTCTGAAACAGAGAGAAAGACTTGCATTCAGCCTGGTTACCAAATGGGCATGGGGGCACTTATCCCCACAGGAAGTTCAAAGCACTGCAGCAGATGCAATTGCAGATATGAAATCCTTTGGGATGGAACAGTTGCCACAGTGGCTGTCAAAGTTTGCAGCCCTTGGATCCGATGGGGTGCATCCAAATAACATGCACGCAGAGCTTCTCAAAATGTTTGAGCCACAGTCTTCAGTGCCCAAGCCCTTGGTGGTTCACTTGGACTTCAAGGGCCAACATGCCCTGCAGTCTTTGATGCTGCCCCACGAACTTTTTTCAGCTCTCTACCACTATTATCCCAGCACCTTCCAGAAGCACTTCATGCCAGGGGGACATGAACAAGTGTCCAAGTTTTGGTCCAAGTTTGCTCAGCACCCTTCAATGGAAGGGCATGAAATTTTCGCCTTGAAGAACTACAAGCACAGAGCTTTGCCACTCAATCTCCACGGTGATGGAGTGCCAATAACTGGCAAAGGCAAAGTCTGGGTCAAAATGATGTTGACTCTGAGCTGGACTGGGTGTTTGGCAGAAGGAAGCAGCAAGGATACCTGTAATCTCATCTGGGGTGTGCCTTGGAAGGAATTAATTTTGCCACATTTGTATCAATGTGTTCCAAGCCTGCAACATGGGAAAGTTATTTGAGAGTTATTGCAAAATTATTTGAGAGAAATTGGAGATTTATTTGAGAAAAAAATCACTTTGCTTGGATTCAGTGCTTTCAATACATAAAGCACATTCAGGTCTACGAGTCAGTCCTCAAGAGTGGCCCTGGTGGCACTTTGGACCAAGCTTTCAAAATCATTTCCTGGAGCTTCAACACATTGTTGACTGGGAAGTGGCCTTCACAAGATTGGCATGGAAACCAGCTTTGTCCTTAGAGACCCAGCAACTTCACCTGTTTGGAAAGAAATTGATCTGGTCATGGAATTCTGTATTTTTTCTGATTGAATTCATGCTATGCCTCCTAGGTTCCCTTCTTCTTCCTTGGCAGGAAAAAGAGCCAACACCTGGTTGGCCAGTGGATATCTTGGGGTCCTAACAGGGATCCTTGGAGATCTGGACTACCTGAGTGGCACCCTTCAGCTGCCAAGATGGTCCAGAAACATCAATTCATGTGCCCTGTGCCTCTGTGATGCTCAGGGCCCATACTCTTGGAAAGTGTTCAAGCCAGATGCTCCCTGGGTCAGCAAATGCTGGACACCTTCCACTTGGTCTGCCTGGGAAGGTAGAAGCAAATGTGGCCTTTTTGAAATCCGACATCTTACAGCAGTGAATGTGCAATGTGATTATATGCATGCAAAATACCTGGGAACAGATTTGGTGGCTTTTGCCAGTGTGCTCTGGCTCGCCATTTTTGTGGCTGGATCACAATCACCAGCCAAAAACTTGGCTGACTTCCAAAAGCACTTGAAAAGCTACTACCAAGAACACAACACAGCTTCAAGATTTTCTGCCTTCAATTCCTACAAATATTTCATGAACAAGAAGGGGATGAAGTTGAAAGGCAAGGCTGCCCAAGTCAAAGCCTTTGGGCAGCCTTTGCTTGAATTTTGGCAGAAGGTCTACAACCCGAGTGTCTCTATCCACAAGCTTGTTCTGGTGTACATGAAGCTCAATGTGAAATGTGAAGAGTTAATGGATGCCAACAGAGATGAGATCCATTTTAGCAACTGGACTTGCAAGCAGTTTCAACCCACACCTCAGTTGTATGTCATGCTGCATTTGCTGAAGACACTGTTCTTGTTTGCAACCATTTGTTTCCACCAAACTTTTCATGTGCATCTGCATGAGGCGACACAGATGCAGCTGAATTCCAAAGAGCCATGTTCCAAATGGCACACGTGCACCATGTGCTCTGGGAACACTTTGATGGGGAAGATGTCCCCAATGGGATGTTTGCTGTCACAAGCAAATTGCATTGGCTCATGCATGCAGCTTTGATGGCTGCAAACATCTCACCTAGAAAAGTTTGGTGCTTCAAAGGCGAAGATTTTATGCGATGTACACAGACTTTGGCTGCCAGCTGTGTGAGTGGAAACCAACTCATCACAAGCACGTTGAAAATGATGCAGCACTGGAGAGTTGGAGCCCATCTTCAATGGGCTGAGGGCTAAGACCCACAGATCCAAAGCGAATGAGAAAAAATGAGAAGCTTTTACTGGATGTTCATGTGCACTGTCATGAGTGAACAATGATGGAAGCTTGAGCTGAGCAGTTGTTGCAGCATATGCCCTCTGGCAGTCACACCTTGTTTGCAACCAATGTTTGAAAGATAGTTGGAAGTTATTTGAGAGATATTTGAGAGATCTTTGAGAGATATTTGTGGCAGTTATTGAAGACATCCATTGGCCCCAGAAGATAAATGATACAAATTACCTTGGGAAAAAAAGGTAAATTGTATGAATAACCTTTCAGAACAAAAGGTAACTTGTACAAATAACCTTCAAAAAAAAAGTAAATTGTATGAATAACCTTAAAAATAGGTTAGGTTATTTGATTGGATAACCTAAAGGGTTCTGACTAATAGTTAGTTTCGTTTTATCTATTAGGCAGAAAATAGTCTATAACCTAAAAGCACCTTTTTAACCTAACCTCATCTTCAGGGTATCCGTGGAGAAGGAAGCAGCGGCCAGGCGGGTTGTTGAAGCTCACTACCCGGGGACGGTGTCCCTGTCAGCTGTGGAGGACATCAACGAGGAGGTCGTACAGAGCTGGGCAACTCGATTTTCACAGTGTGCACTTGTACTCTTGGGCGCAGGGCCACCCTGCCAAGGAGTCAGTGGACTCAACTGCGATAGGCAAGGGGCCCTTATAAGGATGCTCGGTCGTCCTTGTTTTCGCATGTTCCGCGGGTGCGGGGGCTCCTGAGGCGGTTCTTTCCTTGGTGTCCGGTGTACACTATTATGGAATCAGTCGCATCAATGGATGAGGGAGATCGCTGCGTGATGAGCGAAGGGATTGGGCATGCGCCTTTTTGGTGCAATGCAGGAGATTTCACCTGGTGCAACCGTCCAAGGCTGTACTGGATTGATTTCGACATGGAGGTACAGAGATCTGGCGATGGCGAGGGTGCATGGGCCCCTCGGGTGGTCACATTGGAAGGTCACCAGGACATCTCCAAGGTCCTACGTGGCGGCTGGATCAAGGTTGATCCTGATCATCCTTTTCCCACTTTTACCACATCACGACCCCGAGACAAACCAGGGAGGAAACCAGCGGGCATACAATCATGCACGGAGGCGGAGCTCGAGCGATGGTCTAAGGATCTGCACAGGTTTCCACCGTACCAGCACAAGGAAATTCATTGCGTGGTTAACCGTGGTAATCTCCTGCGCGTACCGGATGTGGCCGAACGGGAGATTATGCTTGGGTTCCCTTTGCATTATACAGCTCCTTGCGTGTCAAAGACCAATCGCAAAGCGTCTTGGTATCAGGACCTCCGTCTATCACTTCTTGGGAACACATGGAGTGTTCCGGTGGTTGCGTGGTTTCTTGGACAATTGCTTGGGCAGCTCGGTTTGACCCGCACTCCGTCCGCGCAAGAGATTTTGGACCGCCTTCAACCAGGGACAGCGGAAACTACGCAAGGGCGCTTGGTACGGTTGCCACTTAATCCAGAGCGCACATCCTCGGGGGACAGTTCGTATCCCCTGGCATGCAAACTTAGTAATCTCATCTCGATCAAAGGTGAAGACATTATGTTAACCACACCCTCAACCCAGATGGTTAAATTCCATCGTCTTCGTGCGAGTGTACCGTCCAGCCTCTGGCGCTGGCGCGTAGTAGCAGGTTGGCAGTGGTCACTTAGCAAGGAGCACATCAATAGCCTCGAACTGCGTGCTATATTGACGGCCCTCAAGTGGAGGATTGAACACCAACATCATTTTAACGTAAGGCTGATCCACCTTACAGATAGCTTGGTGTGCCTTCACTGCCTTACTAGAGGCCGGTCTAGTTCCCGACGGCTTAGACGTACTATGTCCCGGATTAACGCCCTGCTTTTGGCTTCAAATGCTCAGCCCCTCTGGGGCTATGTCCACACAGACCAGAACCCAGCCGATAAGCCCAGTCGGTGGCATCGGCGGGTTCGCACCAAGTTCCGCAATGCCGCGTAAACGCCTATTGGAGGCGGCGGAGCCAGGAGCTAGGGCGTTACAGAGACAAAGGCTAGGGACATTACGGGAACTCACTGTTCAACCAGCAACACGCAAGAGGTACACGAAAGCTACAGATGGTTTTCTCCAATTTCTCTCTCACGAGGGCCTAGAGCTCCCGCGAGACAAGGCCAGAATGGATCCGCTGGTCTGCGACTATATTGAACACCTTTGGTCAACAGGAGCGGGGCGCGCTCTTGCCTGCGACACTTTAGCTGGGCTTCAAGATCTTCAGCCAAACCTGCGGAACCATCTCCCGGGAGCATGGCGGCTCCTGAAAACCTGGCACGTCAATGAGATCCCTAATCGTGCACCGCCACTGCCTGAACATATTCTTCAGAGCATGGTTGGATGGGCTTTTTTCAAGGGGCATGTTACCTTCGGCGTATCACTCCTTATAGGCTTTTATACTATGCTCCGCACAGGGGAATTATTGGGCCTTCGGTCTTCTCATATGATTACCACCTCAAGACAGAAGCAGGTGCTTATTTCACTTGGAATGACTAAGGGCGGAAAGGGGCATGGTGCTGCAGAGAGCGTCATCTTAGGGTTTGAGCCAGCAGTGTTGCTCGTTAAGCAGTGGATGAACAAGGCTGCCCCAGCTACACCTTTGGCTCGATCTCCAGCCCAATGGAGAGCTCTGTTTGCGCAGTGTCTACAGGATCTCAAACTGACACAGTATGAGTTTCGCCCTTATAGCTTGCGCCGAGGGGGCGCGACGTTCTGGTTTAGCAAACACCAGTCGTTAGATCAAATCCTTGTACAGGGGAGGTGGCACACCCAAAAAAGTGCACGGATTTACTTGAATGAAGGTTTGTCTGTACTGGCTTCCATGCGCATTCCAATTCAGAACCCCAATATCCACCCCTTTTTTACCGTGTTCCATAATACAGTAAAAACACCTCGCTTTGGAACACTTGAGCCTCCGCAAAGCGGAAGGTCTGGGGGACGTGGAAAGAGGGGCAAACGCAGGGTACGAGCACCAAAACATGTTTTTGCGCGCATTATGGTGGTTTTGTTTTTTCTCGCCTTAGCTTACTACTGCATTCTGAGCACACAAAGAACTAGGAGGTCTGGCTCGGTTCTCGGGGTGTAAGAATGATCCTATTCCTCTCAGCATGGGGTCTGGCCCAGCTGATAGGAAAGGTTTACCGGGGATGGTACAGTAGTTGGCAGGCTCGTGTGAAGTTTTGCTTATTTCTTTTATGATTTTGAGACATCTGCTGCGAAGCGGAAAAAACTGCGGGTCTTTGCATCTTTGAACAAACGGCCCCGGTTTTTAAGATGCATGACCGTTATGTTTATTTCCGAAGTGTTCAGATCAAGCTCCCTCCCTCGGCCACCCAAAAGACGGGCAAACGCAGGGTACGAGCACCAAAACATGTTTTTGCGCGCATTATGGTGGTTTTGTTTTTTTCTCGCCTTAGCTTACTACTGCATTCTGAGCACACAAAGAACTAGGAGGTCTGGCTCGGTTCTCGGGGTGTAAGAATGATCCTATTCCTCTCAGCATGGGGTCTGGCCCAGCTGATAGGAAAGGTTTACCGGGGATGGTACAGTAGTTTGCAGGCTCGTGTGAAGTTTTGCTTATTTCTTTTATGATTTTGAGACATCTGCTGCGAAGCGGAAAAAACTGCAGGTCTTTGCATCTTTATATATATATATACACATAACATATGATATATACATATAACATTGCTCTGTAATGCTTCAATAGATGCAGCAATATTTCGAAGTCTTATGGCATGGATGACCATCAACGCCATTAGGGGCCTGTTTTGACGCTGACTTCTATGGTTCCTTTGTTGCCGTCGACTGGCGCCGCGACGATGTGGACGACAAATGGTGGCTGGTACACAGCGATAGTCGCGGTGGACTTGAGTTTTTTTGATTTATGTTAACGTGTTTTTGTTGGTACAGAAAAAACCGTACACTACTAGGACATCATTTTTTTTAGTAGGACATCATGGGTACAGCAATCAAACAGGTGAAACACCCCTTGTGTCCGAAATCATGAACCCCAAGCCAAACTCATGGTTGGCTGTACTGAAAAACCAAACATGGTGAGGGGTTCATGACTCCGACATACCGCACTTTGCTGATGTTCAATCCTTAAGGGCACCATCCGATGTGCCATTTTTGACCATGTCGGCATGGCGAGAAAAAAAAACGCGAAAAAACGCGGTTCGCAGAGACCACCTGTCTTCAGAGTCTAGGTCTCCTTTCGTTGTCCAAAAAAAAACATTCGCCATATGCTCTATGTATGGTATATTTACCTACGTATGGGATCGTATGGCGGTTTTGTTCGGGCAAATGTTGGTAAATATTCCATACTTGGAGCATATAGGTTCTGTTTACAAATTTGCAAAAAATGGTGAATTGTTGTGAATTGCACGTTGGGGTTTTAAGATGTTTTTAGATGTGTTGAGCATGTATTTTGAACCAAACTTGGAATGATGATACGCCATCAACGTTCATATTTGGCTCTGAAACAACCACTCAAATACAATCAACAATGATCAACATCATTTATCAACCAAACCTAGTCTCAGAACTTGAAGTTGCATGCGTACATACACATGTATAATTCAGATATATTGCGATGATGTGTGTGTGTGCATTATATATACATATAATTAGTGTATGTGTATATAATTATAATATTATATAATTAATTAAATTTAGATATGAGTATATTTAATTATGATTATATACAATTACATGTGTATGTGTATATATATAATATAATATGTGTATATACATGCATGTACATATAATATAATATATTATAATATATATATAATTATATATTTACATAGAGTCATTCTGACCCTCCTGCTCTGTCCAACATCACCTTTTATTGGCAGGTATGTTGAGGCGGCTGCTGCTGCCGATCATAAGCCGATTTTTTGGTGGATCACTGCAGTGGTGCTGCTGCTGACAGTGAGCTTGGGGCGCCTTGTCAATGCCGGGATGAGGGATGATGACATGTCAAAAGACCCCGTTGTCGTTGTGGCCGTTGTTTTGTGTTTGTTAAGGCCATGATATCATGGCAAAATGGTGGGAACATATGGGAAAATACAGGAACATGATGGGAACAAATGGGAAAATATATGGGAAATATATGGGAAAATCATGGGAAAATGACTAGGTCAATCTTAGATGGATACAAACTAATCCTAACTAGTCTTTTGGTATGGGAATATCTACTAATCAGCAAAGAATTTGTCATGTTTTGCAGGGTATCTAAGATTGGCAATGATAAAACATAATTGTTGGATTTATAAAAGAACTTAGCTATCTAGACAGCCTCACCTTGTGATATGTCATGTTTTGATTAATGTAGCTATGGAAAATCACAATCAAATTAATGGCTACATAATCATAAATATCATAAATCATCGAACTAAATGGGCCATGACTTCTGCAACAAACTGTTTTTCATAACCAGAGGGAAGTTTGACACATTTGTCATTTGGCCTATAGTTCACCAGAGTTGGAGCTATTTACCAACGTTACTCGTAGACTCATTAATAACCCTCCCATTTTCTGGAGGTTTAAATCCCATAAACAAATACGACCATTTTGTCCACCTGTACCCGAAAAAAACCCAAGCCATGACCATTTTTTTCGAGCAATTATATACACACATACTATACACATGTTTTCTCATTATATCCCTATCAAAATATTGTTGCATATATATATATATTC